ATATATTTTTCGATTCTGTATTTCCATTCAGGAAATCCTTCGGCAGACAGTAGACGTGAAATTCTTGTGGTAGTTCCCATAATCGAATCCAACTCCCGATGAATTGCACTGTTTTGTGGTTCCATTTTTTTTTAATTTTAATCAAAAATAAACTTGTTCAAAAATCAAAGAGAATCACAACCGAGAAAGGTTTACAGTTGTGAAAGGTTTACAGCCGAGAGAGGTTTACTGCCAATGAGGGTTTACGGCCGTAAACGGTTTACAGCCATGAATGGTTTACAACCGGAAACGAGGGTTTACAGCTGTAAATCCAAAGAGTTTACAGCCGGAAAATAGTTTACAGCTGTAAACTGATAAACAAATTACAACTGCAAACGTCCAGATTTTTGACAAAACGCAGATTTGGATCCTTTTAGCCTTGAAGTCACAATCACTAGTAAAAACCAAGCAACAAGCAACAACAACAATGAAGATTTGCAATAAGAAGCTTAAACAATCACCAAAAATGGATGTGTTTATAGCCACGTTTACAGCCGTAAACTAAGCTTGATCAGATTTGACACTAGATTGGCTCTGATACCAATTGTAAGTCCCAAAAATTAGCTTGAGTATCAATCTGATCCACTTGATGGTGCGGAATCCCAATCAAATGGATGATGCAAGATAGAATGGAGAAGAAGAAGAAAAAGAACTTGATGAATCTATGGTGGATTCAATAATATGAATGATGTTCCATACACATAAGATCCACACACACACACACTCTTCTTCTCTCTAGTTTCTCTCTCTAGAACACCTTGATTTACACACACACTTGACCGTAAACTCTCTTATTCCATTTGGCATCTACTGTCACTATTTATTAGGCTGTTTAATATTTGGATAAAACCGAATTGTCCAAATGGACAATTTGGATTGGACTATTTGGTTCAGATATTTGAATTTTTGGATTGGTTTTTGACAAAACCGAATTATTATTTTGGATTTCAGATTGATTATGGTTTATAAAATAAAAACTGAATAGTCCAAAAAAACCGAATAACGGTTTATTATTTATTTATTTTTAATATATATCTATAATTATTTATTAATTTTGTAATTTATTTTTTGAAATAGGTTCAAAAAGTTTCACCTAGTAGAAAATATTAATATACATTTTCTCTCAAAAGTTTTTTTTTATCTATAAAATATTAAAATATAATATACATTCTTAATAGTTTTTATAAATTTCAAATCGTAACTAAATAATTTGTTTTTGCTTCTTGTGTAAAATTCGGTAATATTATAATTATATGTCATTTTAAAATATTTTAGTTTTTAAAAACCGAATTATAAAAACCGATCCAACCGAATTGAAATTGGATCGGATTTGAATTTAGTTTGGAGTATTCGGATCCTTGTTTTGAAAATTGAAATCAATTTGGATTCAGTTGATTGGATTGGATCAAACCGATCCATCCAAATGAACACCCGTACTATTTATAGGGAACAGTAACCGTAAACGCCACATGGACCATAAACGCCACCCAACCGTAAACCCAATGTTGTTTTCAGTCCTTGACCGAAAACTACAATTTCCTAGAAAAGTAAAGTATAAACCATATTTTTGATCCAACAATACCCCGAGCCCCGTAAACTTATTGCCATAGTGACGCAAATGGTCCCACCCTTTAGAAATATTTTCGAAACTAACCCATAATTTACCCTTTTAGCCCTCAGCATTAAAATCCATTACAATTCAGGTACAATATTTACCAAACAGCCATCCGTTTTCGAAATTCTTTGCAAAACCAGTCCAGAAATTACCCTTTTAACCTCCGAGATCTCAATTATGACATATTCAGCCCTTCCTTCTCTTTTTCTTTCAAATTAACTTCAAATTTACCCAAATAGCCCCTCATCTACAAAATATTTTCAATATAAGTCCACAAACTACAAAACGAGCCCGATTGATTATCCTTTAGCCATATGTTCAAATATTCTTTCCGCTACGAGCCCCGAAAGCACTCTTTAGTCCTCCAAAACAAATTATAACGCTAATTACACACCCTTTTCGCTAACCTCTCTATTTAAATATATTCATATATCGGAATGAAATAATACTTAAAACACCTCTTTAGATTTTAGGGTTTGACTTGGAAACGGGGTGTTACATCAACTTTAATAGTTGTCTATGTTATCACATTATTCCAAATAATGATAATGTTTTACAGCAACATTTCAATTTAGTTTAGAAAAAAAATTATTTCAAAGTTAATGAAAATGACTTATATATTTTTAACAAAATATATTTGTTATAATTTTGACTATTTAACTATATTCATGCACGAATATTCATCTAGTAATCTAGTAAACAAAACAAATAGCGACAATAAATATTATATCTTTGTAAAAACAAAATAGATGATTGATATTTTTCTATATTTGTATTTCATGTCCTATTTTTTTGTCTGTATTCATAATCAAATATACTACAAATAAGTATTTCATGAAGGTTAAATAGTTGTCGAAAATTAATATTTTTTATGATTTTATAAAACAATTCAAAAAATACCGTTTTTGGAAAAGCCTGTTTCCAAAATCCAGTTTGCAGCTTTATACCAAAAGCTGATTTCCGTATGACAAACTAACTTGGTAATTGGTTTTTCTATATCTAGTGATGCACAGCATGTGAATAAAGTGTGCATCAAATTTGTTCTAGTCAACATAATCTTTTCCAACAAAAAAAATCCAAAATCATGTTAAGAGAACACAAAAAATCATTTATATAACACATGTTATGCTTTTTATTCCTAAAGCTAGTTATATAAAACTACAACCAAGTTGTACACGACACCAATAACTAGAGTGACATACACATGTACTTCCATTCTATAACTACTTATAATATACTTTCTAAATCAGGTCGACAATTCATCATCCACTTTTTACATAAACAACAAGAATGACTAAATAACACTCCCAAAGTTATGTAATAAAACAAAGGTTCTTCATGTTTGCAATATAACAAAGTTATGTAATACAACAAAGTTATGTTGCAACAATTTGAGGAAAACGTTTTGATGGATCATCCCTATTGCATGTTGTTATTGCTTCAATTATGTCAAGTTCCTTTGTGGCATCCATATCATGTATTTTAAATGCTGATGGGAGTTCACCTGCGTTAAGAAACATCTTTTTGAAAGCAACTAATAATCCGCTTGCAAAAGAGCTCAATAGCCTCCTCATCTAATAAACTAATAGTGTATATCACGTCTACTTTGTAAGCATTTATGAAATGATTATCTCTAGTTTTGGTTAACATTCGGCTTCATTCATCATACCAATTATGTGATGTTCAATATGATCCACATCATTAAGAACAAGCAACACAATTCTGTAGTGAAACCTATTAATTATTAAGCATCATCCTGCTTTAACTCTGTTTACTTCCATTTATTTTCGTTTCGAAATGTTTGAAGGTTTTTTTTTTCTTACAACGTTTCTAAACCATACTTGCTTGAATCGACTAAAATGCCTTCAACAATGCAGCAACCATCAAACTTGCTAGAGATTTCACTATGTGAAAATACATCAACCATCAATCATACACACACCATTAAAAATGAACATCAACCATCAATCATACACACACCATTAAAACTTTCATTTCAAATGTTGTTGCGAGCTTCTATTCCACTCGGGTGTTAATTTACGGTTGTAAGTCGAAATTATATCAATTTCTTTGATGCACTTTGATCCATGCCTACATATTGGATATACAAGGATAATAAACATATGCTCACATTGACAAATGGAGGTAATTTGTTTCATGTTGTATAAAATAAAGTGTTCACATTCAAACATAAGAGGTATATATATATATATATATATATATATATATATATATATATATATATATATATATATTGTAAAACACACAATCCTAAGCATACAAAGTGCAAAAACAAAGAAGAAAATCACTGGTTGGCACGTACTTGAGTTCTCATGCATAGAGGTTACTTGCATCCACAAGTGCTTTTCTTCAAGTTTCAACTTTGTTTTTGTTCTTCAACTCATTTTTGTATCTACACTTGCTTTTCTTCAAGTTTTAACTTTGTTTTTGTCTCCGACTCATGTTTGTATCCACAATTGTTTTTCTCCAAGACTCCAAGTTTCAACTTTGTTTTTGTCCTCTAACTCATGTTTGACAAATGTTTCTCTATATTTTCTTTTTGATTTCGTTAGTACATAGGATCCGCATCATAAAATATTGGGATGACAATTTAAAAGATGGGGATAACAATCTGCCCACTTGTATCCTTGCACTTCATAATATATGCACGTTCATCCAAATAACGCTATGAATCTACATAGTTTTTAGAGAATACGATGACGACAATCTGTGATTCCTCAGAATAGCCTTCATAAGGGATAGACCGATCAGTTCACCTTAAGAAAATGTCTTTTCATCCCCGTAAGTGTAGATTCCTTGTTGTACAAGAGCTGGGTAGAAATGATCCACAAAAGTCTTGCGAGTATCATTTCTTTTAAAACTGAGAAAAACATCACGTTTCCACGTTTCACAAGAAAATACCGGAGCCAAAAAAGAAGATAATGATGAAGATGACATTGATGGGTGCATTTGTTTAGGTAGAACATAAGTTGAGCACCTGGATGAAATGAAATGAAGTAAATATCAAGAGTTATGAGCTTCCAAAGAAATTTGCGATTTAAAAGAAAAGCTCAAAAATAAAAAAAGTATCGTTGAAATTTTTAATAAAGCTAGCAGAGTTGCTTTCCCATTGATATTATCGAAATCAAATGATATTTTCAATAAAGCTAGCAGAGATGCTTCAAGAAACATGTGTAACTTTATGATAGAACAGAAGAAAACAAGAAAGGTGTAATTCACAAGATTTGCATTGAAATGGCATAAAACACGAGTTTTGGACACAGTTGTGTTTTAAAAGGTCAACCAAAAAGAACCCACAAATTAGGGAAAGAATCCAATAAAGTTAAACAGATCTGTAAGCACCCAAATTAGGAAAGCATAATGAAGAAGTTTCTATCAAAACAATTTCAAACTGGGGTGCAAAAAATTAATAGTGGACTCCAAGATTCAAATGGAATACCATTCAAATAATAAAACCTTTTTTTCATAAACACGAATCGAATTTTCATTATATAGATATATTAACTAATTGAACCCATATCCCTAATAGCTCAAAACCACAAATTCGATGCAAGAAATAAGATCACAAAACCTTACATTGATAATCTTCAAGAGGCGGAGGAGGTGGGGCTGGTGAGATCGGAAGATCGCCGGTGTGTGTGTGTGTGTGAGAGAGAGAGAGAGAGAGAGAAAGAGAGATGGCGATTGCGTTAGATGGAGCCGTGAATACGAGTAGGAGAGTTGATCGATCTGTCAGTTGCTCACCGGAGGGAGAGTTGGGAAGATCCCCGGTGTTGGGAATAGGAACGATGAGAAGTTAAATATGCCGGCGATGCGTTTGTTTTTTAGCAAAAGAAAGAAATGGATAAAGAAATTGGTGAAGGGCGTGGGTTCAATTTATTCTAGTGATATAACTTTTTAACGATTTTGCCTCTGGGTTATATTATTATTACTCACCACAGATTAGAAATTAATTTTTTTAATTAAATTGTACTTATTTATTTAAAATTAATATTAATAATTGATAATAATTACTGTAATTATTAAAGTTTATATGTTTTGCAATAATAAGATAACGACATAACTAATCGTTAAAAATACGAACCGGTAGTGGTTTGAATATGCAATTGGCATTTTGTATTTGTAGATATGCAAAAAAAATTATAATTTTATGAAATGAAATATAATTTAACAAAAAAAACAAATAATGAAATTTATATTAATAATAAAATTGTACAAATTTTTTTACAAATTTCTAAATACTTCTTTATACACAACATTAGAAGTTTTATTTGTTAGTCTATCATCTTTATCTAAAATCAACAATTTTAATCCTTCTCTACTTTGAACTCTGGATAAAGCAACATACAGTTGACCATGTGTGAAAACAGGCTCTTTGAGGAACAAACCAACCTTCGATAGAGATTGTCCTTGGCTCTTATTAATTGTCATTGCAAAACACACAGCTAATGGAAATTGTCTTTTTTGGAATTTGAACGGGATCTTGTCTTCAGAAGGAGTTAAAGACATTCTTGGAATAAAAGTCCGGTTTCCAACATTACTTCCACATAAGATAACTGCCTCAATAACACGTTTGCCCAAAGATTTAACCTGTAGTCTAGTCCCATTACATAAGCCATTTTTCTGATCAATGTTTCTCAATAACATAACTGGGACACCGACTTTTAAAATGAGATTATGGTTTGGAAGACCTGAGACTTTAAGACCATTTAAAACATCAGGTGAGTATAAATTTGCATCAAACTCATCATGAACAAACTCGGATCGGCATAGACTATCTGAACTTAAGTATTCTTTTTTTTTTCTCCTGGAAACAATGACAACAAACGATCGTTTATTTCTTGGACAACTTCATTCTTGGGAGCTAGTATTGCTCTTTCTTGA